GCTATTCCTCCTAATTTGGAGTCATCTGCAAACTTAATAAGCACACCCTCTAAAGCTTCATCCAAGTCATTTATAAAGATACTGAACAGTACTGGGCCCAGGACCAAACCCTACAGCACTCTAGTAGTTACTTTTGTCCACGATGAAGAGGAACCATTGGTGACCACCCTTTAGGTTCAGATCCACCTAATAGTAGCATCACCTAGCCCACATTTAACCAATTTGTTTGTAAGGAGGTAATGGGGGACTTTGTTGAAGGCCTTGCTGAAATAATTTTCATGGTCATGTTAAAATGGAAATTAATTTCCTTTAGAACTCACTCTTAAATGTTGTATCATAATTTCAGCACAAAGATACTAGTCACCAACAACAGCCATGAAGTAAGCAATTAAGTTATCTCCTATGCCTACACAATGGTGTAATCATGACAATATACTTAAATGAAAAGAAGCAGATTTCCAACTAACACACATAAATAAAGAGCTCACCAATAAACATCAACTAGAAATAATGAGTGCGCATTTGCTTACAAAGCAGAAACCAAAGAGAAACGGTGAAAAAATTAGACTGTCCATAGTGAAGCCATTTTCTGTTAAGTGGCTCACTGTGAACTGAACAGAAAGTGTAGAATCATATCATGGCTCCAGAGTGTGGAAGTTGCAATCAGATAGTCTACAGGCAATTAAAAACTGTCACAAGTTGGGTTGGGTAATTAAGAAAACAATTCAACTCCAGGTAGCAATCAGATCTTGCTCTGCCTGGTAGAGAAAGTTCTGTGGACATAGGACTACTGATGGCAGTATTCTAACAACTGACAGTTGTTAGAAAAAGCAACTTTGCTTCTCTAAGGCTGCATCTACACTGTTTAATGCACTTTCACATCACATTAACCTCCATGGCTCAATGCCATGGGATCCAGGTAGTTGTAGTTTTACAGGATCTTTAAGCTTTCTCTGCCAAAGACTGCTGGTGACTCATAAAACTAGAGATCCCAAGATTTCGGAGCATTGAACCATCCAGTTAAAGTGGTGTCAAACTGGATAATTCTATAATGTAGATGGAGCTAAAAATAATGCAGAATTGAAGACAATATAAGATAATTTCTTCTCCTTTGAAACAAAGCAGGTGTAGAAACCAGGAATAATTGTCCCTTTGACATTTTAACCTAGCTAGATAGCATTTAATGGAAAGGCTTAGAAAACGGAGAATCCTGCCTCTGTTTATTTTCTCCGTCATCACAAAGGATTGCTCTTTCCCTCAATATTGAGAATCCAGAAATTACATGCAAATTACATATATTTGCAAAATCGTATGAGCTCATCAGAAGAAATGTGTTCAGCTGCGGCTCCCTCTCAAGGTTATTAATCCAGGTTTGTGAAACACAAACTCAGTGGTAATCCCAGATTGCAAAGCATTCACTGGAGTTGAGGTATTTCAGGCAAGCCTGCATGCTATGTTGCTAACATGATAAACACAGTTATCCTTTGATAACATCAGTGCAAACATACTGCTATCATCACATATTAAAAAGATAAACCATATGATAGATTATCGTGCCTCTTACCATAACACATCACTTAATCAAGGGGATAAAGGGTAGCAATTCTTACCAGGAATTAGGTATTGAGCTCTCTTTCATGCTCATACTGATGAACTTTTACTTGATGATATGATTCTACACTTTCTGTTGAGAAATATATTCTGATTTCCCTTTAAACTTTATACACAAGAATATGAGGTGAAGGTAAAAAAGCCCAGTTGTAACAGCATTTATATCAGGTATGGACAAACCCTGGCCCGAGGACCAGATGCGCCCCCTTGGGCACTTTTTTCACACACACCCCCACCACCATCCTATCCTATCCTCTCTTTCCTTCCTTCCCTTTCCTTCCACCCATTTGTCCTTCCTTCCCCCTCTTTCTCCTTCCTTTCTACCCTTTTGTCTTTCCCTCCTTGTCTCTTTTCTCCCTCCCTCTATTCCCTTCCACCCATTTCTTTCTCCCTCCCTTTCCATCCTTTCTTCCTTTCTCCTTTCCTTCTGGGGGGTGTTTAGTTGGGAGAAGAGAAGGTAAAGAGGGAACATGAGAAACATGTTTCAAGATTTTAAACCATGTCCCATTGAGGAAGAGGAGGGGGGAAACTGACTTTCAACTGCTTTAGAGATCAGGGCACAAGGGAGCAATGGTTTCAAATGGCAGGGAAAGAGATTTGACTGAAAAGATTAGGAAGAACTTCCTGAGAGTAAGGGGTGTTGGAGAGTAGCATTGGCTGCCTGTGGTGGAGTCTCCTTCTCTGGAGGCTTTTCTGCAGAGGCTATCGAGAGAGGTTTGATTGTGCCTCCTTGCATGGCAAGGGGCTGGACTGGATGGCTCTTGGGGGTCTCTTCCAGCTCTAGGATTCTATATCAGGAGTAGGTAATACGGGTCTAATAGATACACTTTTTTTCTCCCGTTCACCATTTCATTTGCCCCTGGTGGCGCAGTGGATTAAACCCTCTGTGCCGGCAGGACTGAAGACCGACAGGTCACAGGTTCGAATCCAGGGAGAGGTGGATGAGCTCCCTCTATCAGCTCCAGCTCCTCATGCAGGGACATGAGAGAAGCTTCCCACAAGGATGATAAAAACATCAAATCATCCAGGTGTCCCCTAGGCAACGTCCTTGCAGACGGCCAATTCTCTCACAACAGAAGCGACGCTCCTGACACGACAAAACAAAAAAAATACCCAAAAAACCATTTCATCCTGACAAAGGCCAACCCCTTTGGGATCCAAACATTTCCTGTCTTTCCTTCACTTTCTGGAAGGGAAGGGAAGAGGGCAGTGAGGGGACTTGAGGAGAGTCCACCTCCCAGCCCGCCCTGCTCTAGCCCACCATGCAGCACTCAGTTTGGGAAGTTTGCCCACGCCTGATTTATATGTTACTATGCATTTCAATTTCAGCCTATATCTTGTATTTAATTCCATCCCTCCTTTGAGAAATAAAATACAGAGAACTATGAACACATCAAGGAACTATATCAGGCATGAGCAAACTTTTACCCTCCAGGTGTTTTGGACTTCAACTCCCACAATTCCTAACAGCCTACTTGCTGTTAGGACTTGTGGGAGTTGGAATCCAAACACCTGGAGGGCTGAAATTTGCCCATGCCTGAACTACATAGTCACTTGCCTCAAATCTGTAACATTCAAAGCTGTGAATCTGCTAAAGGTGGAGGAGATACATGGCCCACTATTGTCCCTCATCCATTTTTGGAGGCTCTGAAATACCACAAAACATCCTGTGTTCCCCATAAAAAAATTGTTCATTAAAAACAAGACAAACTTTAAAGGAGCAGTTGTTCCTAACTAACTATAGGGGTGGGCATGTTTTAATGCCCCTTTTATGAATTTTTAAAAAGAAGAATTGAATTACTTTTGGATTGTGAACATGTGTGTGTGTGAAGAAAAACTAAAAAAAAAAAACCCCCCACACATTGGAAAGATCAGAACTGATACCTGGACTTACTAAACTTGCCCCATTCTAACTGGGAAAGAAAAGGTAGGGAGGCTTGACCATTTTTTTTCCTGAACAGTCTCAATTCCTTCCAAAAATCCTACCTATGGATCAATAATTACCAGGATTACTTTAGGATTGTATCCTCCGAGGTGTTGCCTTCACTACTGAGAGCAAGTAATGCCCTACCATGTATATACTTAAGTTCTTTTCCTATATATATATCTTTTTGGATCTGAGCCTAAGAAATCGCTTTATATGTTGGAATTGCAACATTTTTTTAAAAAAAGGCTGGCTAACATCCAGCATAAAATACTTAAGAGTTTACTATTAGAAACCAATACCAAAATGTGTGGACATCCATAGTCCCACTAATAAAAATACACATGAGCATATTTGCATTTCAAGATAATTTAGGGGCCCTTTTTAAAAAAGAAAAGGATCAAGTTGCAGTTTGCCATGCAATTAGACTTACAAATCTAAGCTGGTAATGCTTCATTAATGTCAATAGCACAGCACATTGCAATTAGTCAGTGCCCTAATTTTTATTAATATTTTTAGAATTATAAATAACCATCATTGTTAGTGTTCAGTTTCACAATAATGAAGTAAAATGTTGTGGGCGTAATAGCAGTGCTTTACAACTTACTGATACGCCATAAAGCTAATAATGCTAATTGGTTCAATGTGGCTTGGTAGTGTGCTGGAAGTGACAGACTGTGACGGCAGCCCTATGTTCAAGCACGGAACATTTATAAGAATTAAGTTCATCTTAATTTGGGTGCATGATTAAAACCACACATCATGCTTCAAGAATCAGTTACATAAAAGAAAGCACCAATGTATACACTCAGTGTGCTTAGCAAATGTAAGACTATCTATCGATTGAAGAAGAAGACATGCAACCTATATCCACAACCTTATCATGTGTGTGCAATTACAACAAGCTGTAGAGAATAGGAAAACATGTGCTAGAAAAAGGTTAGTGGGCAGGGCACACTGAACTCATAATACCCAATCTGGTTCTTGGCATTTTGAAAATTTTAAGACCAGAATTATTGGAACTGGACCAACTATCAAAACACAAAATTTGGAGGATATTCCTCAGCAAGAAGTACTTAATGCTTTTGTTTTCAATAACCCACTATTACATCTACACAACAGTACATGACAACAGGAAAAGTTTGATCTCCATTAAAATTTATTTCCAGTGCTCAAGTTTTAAATTCATTTTATGACACAGTATAAAATCAGTCTGCAAGGTTTTCAGAAAAATATATACAATTCATTCCAACTTCATATAAATATTAATGTTTTGAAAGTGTCTAGACAAACAATGCTAACACAGCTATATACAACTGTATTACTCCACTTTCCCCTGTAAAGTGGAGAGGAGGAACCAAAATAATCTCACTAAAAAGGAACTCCAACTAAAAGTTCTTAAACTAAAGATACCTATGTTGAAAAACATGCTCTAGCAAGATTTAAACAAAAGGCTCAAGTCTACCTCTCCTGTTCTTGCTTCATTCGTAGTTTGTCCTCTTCTCCAGTAACAGCTTCCTGCACTTTGATTTTCTCACTCTTGTCATCTTTTCGATGTTTGCCAAACCTGTTAATAACAAAATAAGAAATCTAACTTGTCAAAGCAAAGAATAACTGTGTGTGTTTGGACAAGCTGCATATGAAAGTCTGTGCTCATTATAAGATGACACTCAAGCATAGGGCATGTGGGTGGAGTGACAAACTAAATATCAAATGAATTACCTCTAAAATTGCCAAATTTAAATAACCAGATTACTATACTTATATTAAAGGCTAAAGACTTTGTTACAATTCTTATTATTTCATTATATTTAAATGCAACGGAAATAGTTAACACAGTATCTGGAAGTTAAATCTTGCACTTAGAAAGTCTGAGGAATATAGGTCCCCACTATACATTCAGGGGAATCCTAGATAATTCTACTCCATTTTCAACAGCATTATCTTAGGCTATATTATCCATGTTTTTGTTTTATCACATAGTGTTCTAGAACCATACAATATCATTTGTTTCTTAAATGTACCCTATAAGCTGTTAGGACTAGATCTCACCTATAAACTAGTATGAGAAATGTCACACTACAAGGTACACATATTAAAAAGCAAACATAATGAATAATAGTGTGTAACACTGATGTTTATTCACCTCTGTTCCTTCATTTTGATAAATTCTTGTGTTCAAACTTTGATGTGGCTAGGGCTGTAGGCTGTCTCTGAGTTAGAAACATCTGACTTACAAACAACAACAGGAAGTGGAAGAAATCTATCCTTAGGAAGGGAAATTCACTCCTGAAAGAGTAATCATGGGGAAAAGCTGTCTCCACTGAAGTGTGTGTGTGTGTGTGTGGTTGGAGTTAGACTTAAAAATTCTGACTTACAAACACATTCAACTTAAGAACAAACCTACAGAACTTATCTTGTTTATAACTTGGGGACTGCCTGTATATGGCAAGTTGCTGTGTGGAACAAAATGGGTAACAGTTGAAAATTGTAAGAAAAAGAGGAACATCTTCGAGAAAACTTTGGATCTTGGCTTCATAATTGGAATTAAGATACTTACAGAACCAGATAATACTATCTAACACCGAGGGGGAAAAAACACAACCATAGCTATCACTAACTCAAAACTTTAACTGCTTATTTCCAACAAAAATGTTAAAATCAGTGGAAAAAAGCACAGGCAACAGTTTTTGAGAACCAGTGTGGTACAGTAGATTGAATGATGGACAAGGACTCTGGGAGTCAAGGGTTGAAATCTCAGATCAGCCATGGTGAGTAACAAGATACATCTCAACCCATTTATTCACTGTAAACAAGGCAGCATTATGAACCATGCCTAAGAAAAATAGCCCAGCCAAACAGGACAACTGAGAATGAATACTGAGTTTCCACATTCTACCTCTGTTTTCTTCACCTCTCAGAACCTACTTCTATGCTTCGATCCAAATCAGTTTCTTGTTACATCTGAACTTGACATTTGTTTGACATTGCCAACCATAATATTAAGCCATTAAAAACTAACAACAGCTACTAGTAATCACAATTGCCACCTGAAAAAAATAACATTTTGGATGTTCTATTTAAAAAATAAATAAATTGGTAAATGGGCTCTTGAAAGGCAGACTCCTTATGCGATGGCACCACCCTCTTCTAAGAAACATGCATTGGGTCACCTTACATCCATGAACACAGACTGATATCCTTCATTTCTCCCACAATATTTCCAGAAAAAAATGTGAGTATTAATGTCATGTAATAAAAAGGAAGAATAATGTGATGAAACAGAAAACTGACACATATTCAACTTAGAACTAAACTCCCTATATTCTGAGATATCTGTTTTCTGTCAGCTTTCTAAATAGCAATCAAACCACCACAATCTCCCAAATGATAATCTGTGATTTTCTTTTCAAAAATCAGAAGATTGACCTGTTTATCAAATAGCATGAAAGTTTCTCCAGAGCCAAGATAAATGTAAAATTTTACTTTTTCCTGAGATATTTCAAAATGTCAGTTAACTTTGTTTAATGTTTTATTTAGTATTGGTGACTATGATTTTTGTGTGTATCTGTCAGAAGCAACTTGAGAAACTGCAAGTGGCTTCTGGTGTGAGAGAATTGGCTGTCTGCAAGGACATTGCCCAGGGGACACCCAGATGAGTTTTACTGTTGTTGTTTGTACCGTCCTTGTGAGAGGCTTCTTGAATGTCTCTGAATAGAGCTGGAGCTGATAGAGAGAGTTTATCTGCGCTCTCCATGGCTTGGATTCAAAAAGGCAACCTTCAGGTTAGCAACCCAACCTTCAAGTCATCAGTCCTGCCAGCACAAGGGTTTAACCCACCGCACCACCGGGGGCTCCTCAGTGACTACAATATCATTAAAAATCAGCAAAACACACAGCACACCGCACTCTGATGTTTTCAGTGGTTTTCCTTTCCCTCTACTTGACTCTTGTTTTGAATTTATTCTCTATTAAGAACACAAATTACTATTATCCTGGATTGTTGCAACGAAAGTCATTTTTAAACAAAGAGAATTGGTTTATGACAGATTGGAGCAGTGGCTGCAAATTACAAATACTCTGTTTGGCCCAAAGTGCGAGAAAATGATGAGGAAGAGCGGGTGAAATCTTGTTCACTAATTACTATGATACTCCAAGGTTGTTATAAGTCAATTTCTTCCTTTCTTTTATTTAAAGAAAAGGTCAAGGAACACTTCAACATATCTGTGAACCCTCCAAAGCCAGGTCTCATTTCAATCCCCTGCTCCATTTGTTTGTGGAAATTGTACAAAAACATGATATTCCAGCAGGCTATATTATACTATGTCTTCATGAATTTGGACCTAGGTGAGTGGTGAGCCTGCAGTCTAGTAGTAGATCAGTGTATGACTTACAGGAGACTAAAAATCATTTCTGATTGTAAATTATAACCACAAATTATTTTGTTGAAATTAACATCACTCTAGAAGTGTAGGGGGGAAGCCCAGGTTGCAAAGCATCATAGTCCCAAAGACAAAGCAGATAGATAAAAAGAAATCAAAAGTACCCATATGATAAGTTCTACCAATATATTTACTTCATTTATGCCATCATTTAATAATAAATAAATAAATTAAATAACAGGGGCAGAAGAAAGGAAGGTAAACCTTAAGGGAAAGCATCCTATAGAAACTCTCTACAAGTGAAGATTTAAGTGGCTGCTGCAAACCTTAAATGCACATCTCCAAGTGTAGAAACAGGGTGAAAGCTAATAGAGTTCTATATTGTCAAGGACCATGGTGAATTCCATCATAGCAGAAAAAACTTGTTAGAAAAAAACATTTATGGAGAGGTTTAAACTATTACTCCCTTGATAGTAGTCCACATCACCAGCAGCTTCAAGTGACTCATTCTGCAATTTTGTACAACCCAGTAATTGACCCACATATCCTTGTGTTTGTTTTAAACCAGGATCCCCTAATTTTATTGGTTTCTGCAGCCACAATCAGAAGAAAAGAACCAAACGTACAAAAAACATCCTATTTAGCCAGGATGGTTCGAGTTCATCTCTGCCATCTTACTTTTTCAAAAGGTTATAAAATGTCCCTCTCCACTTTCACCCTTGATTTCAGATCACTTCAGTTGCAGCAAACTGATTTCAAATGGCAAAAGTAGTGTGTACTCTGTTAACTAGGGAGCAGAGAGAGGAATAGGCAAAATGTTGTCCTTTCTTTGGCTTAGGCCAAAGCAAACTGCTATGTTCTTCCTCAACAACTTTTGTCATCTTGACCACACTTTGATTTTGCTGGGCGACGTGTGTTCCTCTTTTCATCTGTGAAATGTGGGAAATTTCATGGTCTTGCTTCAAACAGTGACAGAAAGGAAATGTACTGTTTAGCTGGCACATGTAAAACCACTTTGAGAAAAACAAAATAAACTGATTGCATAAAAATAATCACCATGTAATCTGCTAAGTGGATTTTCTTTTGACATGCTACTGATGAGATCATTGCTGTCTGACAAATCATTCACAGATTTCATTAACATAAAAGAGCAACGAGTGAAGCGTGTTCTAAGTGATCAATAAAAACACTGAAACAATGCAGTAGTTTTAAAATAAGTATAAAATAAGGTAAAACGAATAACTTGATATAGCTGGTTTCACTGATTCGCTGTTTCACTTATTCAGCTATTCACTTAGGGTCTCCTGTATAAGCTACACCCCCATTTTGGTAGCTCCACTGTTGGCCCCATTTTTGCTTTTATCTGGGTTTTACGTATCATACAAAGTATGAACCCTATATCTGCAGTTCCCCTAAATGGCCCCAGCCCAGTTTACCTATCCAAACGCATCTCCCTCTATGAACCACCACAGAGATTAAGATATTCTGGGGAGGTCCTGCTCTTGTTCCTGCCACCATCACAGGCAGAACTGGCGGGGACAAGAGAGACGGTCTTCTCAGTGATTGCCCCTCGGCTATGGAACTCCCTCTCTGGTGAGATTAGATCAGCTCCCTCCCTCATGTCCTTTAGAAAGATGGTAAAAACTTGGCAGTGGGACCAAGCCTTTGGGACAGTGCAATAAGGCAATGGCCAGAACTGGTATGGCTGATCTGGGGTGGTTTTAAACATTGATTTTAAGTGGAGATAACTGATTTTAGTGTTTGTGTATATTTATGGTTTATTTTATGTTCCAGCATTGAATGTTGCCTTATATATGTTGTGTTCTACCCTGAGTCCCCCACAGGGTGAGAATAGCAGAATATAAATGCTTTAAATAAATAAATAAATATTTTAAAAAATCTGATATTTTATCAGTTGATAAGTAACATTGTTACTTTGTAAAAACTGAAGCATACCATATAGGTCACCATCAAGGACTTTTAACTTTCAGTATAACATTTTCCACTCTATAATCAAACCAGATGGCATTTTATGTTCTACACATTCAACATTTTTAAAAGAAAAGTAAAATAATGGCACTCCATAATCCTAGAACAAAGTAAAACAGCATTTAGAATAGAGAGGAAAATGAGCAACCTTGAAACTGAACTACAATTAAAATGTTCTGAAACATCAATTAAGTGA